CCCCAAGCTGAGTTGAGTCTCTACTATCTAGGTAGTTGCTGGTTACTGTCTGGAAAAGAGAATGCCAGGTGGTATGTACAAGGTCTTCTGTGCTTTGACCTGGACATGATACACATCACTTCTGCCCTAAGCCCATTGTCAGAAATAGCCATAAGGACCTACCTCATTGTAAGGGAAATACGGGGAGCACCAGTCTCTGCCACAGTCTGTCCTTCTGGTTATCCAAAATTCCTGTGCTCTCTTTATCTCATAGTTACCCCCTCCTTAGGTGAGATAACTAAAGTCCTAGTCTATTAAGGCATTAGCTCCAAGTGATACATGGGAATCTGTAGCAAGTCCCAACATTGTTCCTTTTGCTCCAGAAACATTGGAACTAAAATGACAATTATCCAGCCATCCTCATACCTATCCCCTGCCCCATTCCCTAGAAACTGTGGTCAAACAGGGCTGAGGTAACCACAATAAATAATCCCATTTGAGAAATTGAAAAATCAATTGTTGGTTGTTTGTAATTTGAAATTCTCTTTTTTTAAGATTTTATTTACTTATTTTTAGAGGGGGGGGAGAGGGATTGAAACATGAATTTATAGTTGCCTCTAGCACACCCTATACTGGGGACATGGCCTGTAACTCAGGCATGTGCCCTGACTGGCAATTGAACCGGTGATGCTTTGTTCCGCAGGCCCACACTCAATCCACTGAGCTACACCAGCCAGGGCTGTAATTTGAAATTCTCTTGGTGAGACATAATGAGTGTCTCTTCCCTTGGGGGTGAAGAATATTCCTTGATTAGGCTCTGAATCTCTGAATCTGATCTGTGCAAAGAATACCTTGTACATACACTATTCTCTGTGGTACCTGGTTCCACTATCCTCCTTGAATATTTCTGAAGTGAGTATTAGAAAATGTGTTCTCTTGGAGCTGCTCAGCTTTCTCAGTTTTCTGTCTGTAAAAGATTGGGGGTCAAGTCTCATGTTAAGCCCATACTTCTCAACCTGGGCACTATTTACATTTTAGATGAGTAAATGTTTTTGAGGGACTGTCCTGTGCATTGTGAAGTATTTAGCAGCATTCCTGGCCTCTACCCCCTAGATGCCATATGTACTCCCCGGTTGTGACAACCCAAAATGTCTCCAGACAGTACCACATATCCCCTGGGGCCAAATTTTGCTGAATTGAGAACCACTATTTTAAGGCTAAAATAGTTACAGAACTGTGGAAGATTTTTCCCCCTCGATATAGAATAGCTCTCTCAGAAACTTAGGAGGCTTTTTTTATCTCCTTTTATTTACAATTCTTTTCAAAGCACATAAACATTAGCTCACTGGACTTAATGTCTAAACTTCAAGCTTTCAGCCTAATGTTACCAAGGCTGAAGCAATGTTACCAGTTGGAAGAGTTTACAAGTCTTTTTCTCTCAAGGGTTTTTAGAATTATGTGAAAATGATGCATCAGAAACAAATCCAAGGCATCCGTGGTGTAAAGCAGCATTTATTGCTTGCTCAGGTCTGCAGGCTGGCTACGTGCACTGCTCCAGATCATGGGGTCAGTCCAGTTTACGGTGTATTCCACATTCAGGTTTCATTGTCTAGGCTGAAGAAGTGCCTTCCTTGGGCTCATTCTTTTCTCATGGTGAAATATAAAAGAAGAAGAGCCAAGCTAAATAAAGCAAGCACATTTAAAACTTCTTAGATTTGGTAACATCACATTCCCTCACATTCTGTTGAGTGAATCAAGTCATATGACTAGGCCCATCAATAAGGTAAAGAAGTATACTGGGTTGGGAGGAGGAGATATTTGAACACTTGCCACCCTCCATGCCCTCACCGTTTTTTAACGGTCTAGTAGTAGCTTGTAGCTTTTAGCTTTTGTAGAATGGCAAGGTGCTGAAATTCTAAATTCTGTTTGCTTTCATTTGTATCTTTAAAAAGACCAGTTCTTTCAAATACATGCAGTAGTCACCAACATACAGTGCTGAAGTTTTACTTTCCAATCACTTCTTCAGAGTGGTTCAGTAAACTTTTTCTGTAAAGGCAAGGCCCTGGAGTATTTAAGGCTCTGCAGATGATGCAGTCTCTGTTATAGCTGCTTAGCTTTACTGTTGTAACACAAAAATAGCCATAGACAATGGGCAACTGAATGAGTGTGGCTGTGTTCCAGTAAAACTTTCTTCACAGGCATAATTTGCCAACCCTTGTTCTAGAGTTTCACATTTATTATGCAGGGCTGTGCCTTCCAAGTTGTCGCAGGTAACAGTGTCTTGAAATGCATTGCTACTATATAACCTGGGTCACTTTTCCAATGTTTGATGTTAGTTTTCCAGATGTATGCTGCTCAGCTGCTAAGCTGTGGTCCTGTGTTTGCATAGTAGTAACACCCCACTCACTCCTGGCACCAATTTCAGTGTTATCAGAATAGACTAGTGAAAAGGAAAGACAGTGTGTTTACTGTACTATGGCACTATTTCAGACACCAGATACGTGGTGGGTCTTTCCATACCAGCAATTCTCAGCTTCTGTGGACATCAGCTGGTTGTCTTACAATTTAACTCAGTTCTGATACTATCTGCCTGGAGATAGCATCAGAACTCCACAGGTTCAAGGGCTTAGTCCCATAAGACTGCCCACACTTCAGATGCCAATCACAAGCCCACGTTGTTACTGTGCTTCTCATCTACTGTTTCTAATTCAGAGGTTCCCCAAGACACCCTTCTCAGGTTTAAATTAATGTGTTGGAGGGGCTAACAGAACAGGAAAGCATTTTACTTACTAAACTACCAGTTTGTTACAAAGGACATTACTCAGGAAAAGCCAAATGGAGAGTTGCTTAGGGCAAGGCATGTGAGAAGGGGTGTGGAGCTTCCATGCCCTCTCTGGGTGTGTCATTCCTGTCCTTTTGGGGTTTTACCAACCCAGAATCTCACTGAGTCCTGTCCATTTGGGGTTTTGTGGAGGCTTCATTGCCTCTCTAGGCATGTTGATTAAATCATTGTCCATTGGTTATTGAACTTAATCTCTAGCCAGGTGTGGGAGTGGGGCTGAAAGCCCCATCCTCTAGTCACAATGTTGATTTATTTTCCTAGCAACAAGCAACCATCCTTTTGGGCTTTCCAAAAGTTACCTCATTACCATAAACTCAAGTAGTGAAAAGGACTTTTTATATATAACAAAAAACACTCCTTTCACCTTCATTGCTCTTACCACTTAAGAAATTCTGAGGGTTTTTAGGAGCTCTGTGTCAGTAATTGGGACAAAGACCAAATATATATTTACTATAAGTCACAATTTCACAACTAAGCTAAGCCTAGGTAACAAACCCTGACTTCTCAGGGGCTTAACAGCCTTATTTCCTACATTGCATGTCTAGAGCAGGTCATGATGGGACTCTGCTTTACACAGATGTTCAGAACACTGACTAACAGAGGCTTCACTATCTGGGATGTTAGTGAAAGCAGGGGAAAGGACAAAAGGATGCCCTTCTGTTCTGTGGGCCTCTTCACATCCCATTGTAAGCTTGCCTACTTACCTACTTAATTGTGAGCAGGCTGGAATTTCTCTGGGAGTGAAGATGGAGTTAGGTTAGTTCTATTGCCTGTTCCACAAATTCATACAAATCCAGTTACTCTTACATAGTTAGCAGTGGTTCTAACATCTGTAGAAAGGTACACCTGGATATACAAGAATAGATTTCTGGTAATATTCTTTGAGGCATTTTTGCACAGTTTTTTCTTTAAAAATATCTTTTTGAAGGTGTATTTTGCTCTTAATTTTCCAAAATGAAGTGGTTAATGTTGGATTCTTATTTCTAGATGAAAATGCATTAGTATTAAAACCCATTCATCTTTAACCATCACAGTAGACATTAAAGTATCAAAGCTTATAATTTTTATACTTGGACATGCATTGTTACTTTGCTGAAATACTATATTTTGAAAATAGTGGAAATGTTATAGAATAGCAAGAATGAAAATTTTCATCTTCTGTTTTACTAAGCCTGTTTAATTTCTATTTTTAATTTGATAAAAACCCTTGGGTTCTACATCTTCTAAAACCATCCATGATTGCCTGTGAAAATGTTCTAAAGACAACATATAATATTTTTGTGGGTGTAGACATTACAAAAGTAATCCTTGCCTTTCAGGCTGTCAGTTCCAGTAATGGAATGTGTTTGTGTTGTGTATATACGCTTGCTTTCTTTGGTCTCTTGGTTCATGATAAGTTTCATAGGAGCTAGTAGGCAAAATGTGTTGAACTTGAGACTGTGAGTTTATGCTTGCTGCCTTTCTTTTAGTGAGCATAGAAGAGAATTCCCTAAGATTGAGGTCAGGTGGAAAATTCTTCACAAAGACATTATTTAGTAGCATTAACAACAAGTAGTTTTACAGATTAGTGGCACTAGGACAGTGCTGTTCTACTTCTACGAGCAGACAAAAATTTTATGAACAAATTTGTATGACTCAGGCTGGGAAGTTAGTGATAGAAAGACTACTAATGACTATTTCAGTCCTTCAGAAATGAACATCTGTCAATTTGAAAGGTCAAATGACACTTGTCTGGATTGACATAGAATGCCCCGTTGTTGATTTATGTATGATACTATATAAAATTCATTGTATCTTTAAAATCGTTTTTTTAAATTATGGTAATTTAGTATACGAGTGAATATAAAGGTTAATTTATGAATCTTTTTCTTTTATCGTGTTAGTTCTTATGTAAGCTTTTAAATGCCTTTCCAAATCACCTTTACTCCACCTGATTGAAAATTACTTTTCAGCAAATAAAGTATTACTAACTTCTCTAATAACTGTATGTATTCATAAAGTCAAATGTCATCAAGCCAATTCCTCAGATTTGCCTATTATGATGAATCTGTACAGTGGATATCAGTTACGGTGAGAGAAATAAATTAGCATGAATTGTTCTACCAGTGGTCTTAAAACTTGTGAACTGCAAAATATTTGCGCATATCATAGCAGTCATTTTTTATTTTTATTTTTTAAGGACTTAAAGCCAAGTAATATAGTAGTAAAATCAGACTGCACTTTGAAGATTCTTGACTTTGGACTTGCCAGGACTGCAGGAACTAGTTTTATGATGACACCTTATGTAGTGACTCGCTACTACAGAGCACCTGAAGTCATCCTAGGGATGGGCTACAAAGAGAACGGTCAGCAAACACTATTTACTTGAAATACTCTTCTGTTTTTATCAGATTTCTTATGTAAATATTTCAGCTGAAATGCTTAGTTAAATATATGTCACTGTTTGAAATGTTTTATCAAGAGTTTGAAAGTAACTATAAATTTTGTCATAAATGCTTAGAAAAACTTAGGGCTCTTGTTTATTTAAATACTATCAGTACTACTGTTGAATAAAGAATTTGTTGCCATTGCCCCTAAAATTTGCTTTCTTCTAACTTGAAAGGGAATTTTTCTAACATAGGCTTAAGGAAGTATATAGTGGACTGACAGTTTATCTTTTGTAGTAGTCCTAGTTTGATGTTAGTAACATTTGCACCTATTTCCAACCCCCTGAAACTAGAGTTAATGGTAATAGCACTTAGTATAAACTTTAAGAGCTAGGGTAAAGCCATTCTGCAAAACTGATGGGTAATTAAGGTGACCTTTTGTAGAAAACTGTTTCATCAAAGCCCTGTGTCCAGCCTTAAAGAATTGTCATTATTATGTATGGGTATATTTAGTTACATATATCAGCATTAGAATCAAGGTTGAAGAAAATTATCAGGCATGTAGTTCATGAATTAAAAAAATATACATATATTAAAGAAGAAATTTTGTTGACTCTCAGGAGGTAAGTCTGCACAGGACTTTATTGATTTAAATTATAACTTTTTAAATTTGGTAACTTCATCCAATATACTCCCTAGAATAGGACCTAGACATTTTTTCTAGCAAGGAATCTGGAGCAGCAGTTCACTTTGAATTAATAAGCTATTGAGTGAATCTTCATGATTCAGTTTTATAAAAGATAGCATTGAACTGAGAATTTTAGCTCAGTTTCCTTTTGTGAGCTAATTAAAAACAGATATTTAAACATCTACTAGTCTTTTGTTCTTAAATAAACATGTTTTATTCTCTTACTGTCTAGCTAAAATTGTCTTACACCCTGTAGACTCTAGTGAGTTGGATTTAGTATTAGACTCATAGGGGTTTGTTGGGAGCGGGGGTTTTTGGTGAGGTTTTTTTGTTTGGTTGGTTGATTTTGTTTGAGAATTCATACAAGCGACCAACATGAAGATTGCTTTTGCATTTGCTGTAAAACCATTGATTGTCTCAGATCCTGTCTAATGTGTCACTCAACGTCCAATAAATGTAATTCAGGGAAATAGCTCCCTACCATAAATTTTCCAAGGAAAAAATGTCATATAAAGAATTGACATGATTTCCTGTCTTAGATAAGAATTATGTAGATCCCTGTATTGTCTTTTCTGTTTCAGAAAGCTGAGTCAAATATAGTACTTAATTATGATTACTGCATTAGCCATCGAGGTTAAAGACACGAACTTCCTTCTTTTAGTGTTGCTCCCAGTTTGTCTTATTGCATGCTATGTCAAAGCTTTTTGGAAAGTATGATATAGTGGAATATGTTTAAACTGCCTAATAAGCCAATCTAGTTTTGTGTGTGAACCAGGCTTATCGTGTTCTGAGAAAGTCTCCACTGACCCAGACAGTAACTTCTCCCATGCTTGTAGCTTTTGAAATCTGTTTAAAATATGTTAATATGTTTTTTAAAGTGCTTTACATAGTTGTATCCTGGATATTTAACTAAAGTTTGCCATTCTTTATAAAATCTGTAGGGAAAGTTCATTGCAATAGATTTTGACCAAAAATGAAAACCCTGGAAAATTTTTTTTCTAAACTGATTTATGAATATTAACTTTCCTCTAAAATTTTATTTTTGAAAGTTGAATCATACTATAAGTATAAAACCATTTGCGTATAAATTAATATGAAATTTTAGAGAAACTTTAGTTCCAAAGGATTTCCAAAATTTATTTCCAATTTAGCACCTAAGATTCTATGATGAACTGGCAGTCTCCTTTTATGAATGTATTAGAAAGTACACTTCAATTTCCTAAGTGCTCCAACATGATTAAAGGGTGTCTCTCTGTCTCTTTCTTTTTCTTTCTCTCTCTCTCACACACTCTCACATCAGTTTTTGCCATTTTTCTCTTTTGCCCTGAAAGAATTTGGACCTTCAGACCTCAGAAACAAATGCAAGTTTCTAAGGCTTTCCTTTTAAATTGCTCATTCTTCCCCTCTTTTCCTATTAAACTGAAATTACCGAGTATTTTTTTATCTTATTTTCAAACATAAAGATATAAAATGTCAGGGCGTATTGTTAGTTTTAATGAAACAGGTGGAAATCCTCAAATTGCAAATTTCTGTGTCTAGCAGATTCTTTTCAGCGTTGATTAGTTCCCATTAAAATGGGAACTTTCATTCAGTTTTATGGCTTTAAAAACTTTAGATGGAAAAATGATATATACTTTTTTAAAGTAAGTTTCCTTAATTTATCATTTGTTCATTCTCTCTGCATTTGTTCCTATTGGGGTAGTAGGGTAGATGAAGCATGACATTGCCAAAAAAAAACAAAGGACTTTCAGTTCAGAATAAACATAGCACTACTCAAATAAATTTATGAAATCCAGCTTGAAAATTTCTAAAGGGCATTACATTAATTTTTTTAATGTAATTATCCATAGAAATACATGTTTTCTGTTAAATATTTAACATACTAGATTATTTCTGCTCATGCTTTTTCTTTTATTTGACTTAAAGAGAGAGCATAATGCACAGTTGAATCTTAAAATAGTGTCAAGATTTTATTTTTCAAGTTTTGCTAACTCAAGTACTTTTTCAACCATATTGACAAAGTTTGTGTTTGGTTCTAGTTCATACTTTATAAACAAATTCTCAATGATAAATGCATAACATTTTTAAGTATGTGCTTTCTATGCATAGCTCTCACTTTAAAATTAGATGTATAGTTGAAAGGCCACACTTCACATTTGCTTTTGTGAATCAAAGCCTTTGGAAATATATTTGTGTTTTAAAGTATTCCATTAGCTAAAATTAAAATCACTTTTTTTCTTTTTGTGATGTTTTATAGTTTTTATATAATCCAGTCATATTATGCTTCTTTGATTTTAATGACCTTTTGCTTTGCTTTTCCTTCTTTTGTGCTGCAAACATATAGTGGACTTATGGTCTGTGGGGTGCATTATGGGAGAAATGGTTTGCCACAAAATCCTCTTTCCAGGAAGGGACTGTATCCTTGTGCTGCTGCAGCAGTTTAATTAGTTAGGTGATGCACTTCCTTATGTTCTCTAATGAAAAGGAATATGGTACATTCATACATGGGGTTTTTTTAAAACATACAAAGTTTGTGGCTACTATAGTTCAAAAATGGTTGAGATAAGCTGAAATATTTGTAGGCTGCATCTGGCAGTAGGAAATAACAGTCTCTGCTGGTAGTTAGAGCACATTCACTGTCACTCATTTTTATTTTATACTGCTTTCTATAATTTTACAGTATACATGGTGTGTGGTTTTTTTAATGTTAGTATTTTTTTTATTTTAACCAAAATCTTTATGTTAATGTCATTGCATTTTATTTTCAGTTGACATTTGGTCAGTTGGGTGCATCATGGGAGAAATGATCAAAGGTGGTGTTTTGTTCCCAGGTACAGATCGTATCCTTATCTTTGGCCTAAAATGTAGTCTCTAAAGGTCAAAATGTGTGACAGCACTTTAGCTAGGTCAAGGTTAATGTATTTTGTCTCTCCCTAATAATATTGTTAAATTACTCTACTCTTTCAAAATACCACCTGCTGTTTGACATAGACTTTTCTTTCCCTCACTGATTGTGTTATATATTATTTCTGAGAACTGCTCAAATTAGTTATCCACAATTACTTGCTGTCTCTGAGTTGATTTATTTAACCTAAATCAAAAATCATGGTTTGCATTAAAAATTTCTGGTAATTATACACTTGAGTAAGTCTAGAAGTATGTAGGACTTTAATGTGAATTTTGGAATTGTCTGTTGATTCTGGTCATCCTTTTGTTTTATCCTCCATCCCCACCTTCTTTTTCGTTAACGTCTGATGTATTTTGTGTCTTTGGGTTGTTGTCTCATTTCTCAACATAACATACTGATTTTTTATCTAAGAATCTCAGCAGTAATAGTTTTTTTATGGTGTTAAGTACCGTATTTTGCCAACTATAATGTGTACTTTTGCCCAAATTTTTGAGGGAAAATAAGCATGTGTATTATACATGGGTATAATGATTTTACATGCCATGAGTATAATAATTCCGTGTATAATGTACACAAAAACATGGGTGCACAATCAGCTAGTAACAGAAGGAATGGGAAAAGCCATATGCAGTAGTCAACAATAAGAAACTTTTAGTTCTTAGTCTGCAGGGAGGACTTTCGTTGTAAAGACGTGGGAGGAAGAAAACTAGGGAATTCTAACCTTACAACTTATCAAAGTACTGATTCATTTTCATAAGTTTCAGAGCTTTAAAAAAATTTTTATTAACATAAGCTGAACAAAGAATGGCAAAAGAAAATGCCACTTTTATCAAAGTCATCATTTTTTATTATTTTCTGTTAGCATAGAATATTTTAGGAAGGACTTGTTATCATAAGTATTTCTTAGCCTATAGTATATGCATTCACATTTTCTTATATGCCAGAAGAAAAGGCAAAATTTTATATTCTAGAGTTGTGTACAGTTTACATTTAGAGTCCCTGTGGGTAATCATTCTTCTTTGAGTCACTTGTCATTTGTATTTAGAATTTGTTACTTTAAGCTTTCATTTTTATGCTAAAATCAATTTAGACAGTACACACACATACACACTTTCTCTAAATAAGGTTAACAACACTTGTTTATTGATCTTTCTGTCCACCTTTTGCAAGGTAGCTGTAAGATATAAGATTTAAAACTGCCACATTCTTTATTAGGATTTTATAATTGTTATTTTGTTATTTTAATGGCTATGACTGATGTGTTGAACATTAGATACAGAATATTTTTCTTAGCTACTTGATATTAGATATTGATCAGTGGAATAAAGTTATTGAACAGCTTGGAACACCGTGTCCTGAATTCATGAAGAAACTACAACCAACAGTAAGGACTTATGTTGAAAACAGACCTAAGTATGCTGGATATAGCTTTGAGAAACTCTTCCCCGATGTACTTTTCCCTGCCGACTCAGAACACAACAAACTTAAAGGTACTTTTTATAAATCTATATATTTAATCCTGTTGTGTGTGTTTTCATGTTATTATGGAACAAGGTTATTTCTGGATGGTGGAATAACGTAAGGTTTTAGGGGTTTTTTTCTGTAACTATTTTTTCATCATATGTATCACCTGATTTTATAGTAAAATCTATTTTTTTTAAAACATACTTTTTTAAAAAATATTTTATTTATTTATCTTTAGAGGGGAAGGGAAGGAGAGAGGGAGAGAAATATCAATGTATGGTTGCCTCTCGTGTATCCCCTGCTGGGAACTGGCCTACAACCCAGGCATGTGCCCTGACTAGGAATCGAACCGCAATACTCTGGTTCGCAGGCCCACGCTCAGTCCCCTGAGCTATGCCAGCCAGGGCTCAAAAAAACATACTTTTTAATGAACCATAATTTCAAGGTTCTGAAATGTATTGCTAATTTAAAAACCTTCATGAGATACACGTACATTAACATCATAATTTTTTTGCAGCCAGTCAGGCAAGGGATTTATTATCCAAAATGCTGGTCATTGATGCATCTAAAAGGATCTCTGTAGATGAAGCTCTTCAGCACCCATACATCAATGTCTGGTATGATCCTTCTGAAGCAGAAGCTGTAAGTTCTTTTTTTTTATTATTGGTTTGAGAGAAAGAGAGACATCAGTTTGTTGTTTCACTCATTTATGCATTCTTTGGCTGATTCTTGCATGTGCCCTCACTGGGAATTGAACTTGCAACCTTGGCCTATTAGGGGGCAGTGCTCTAACCAGCTGAGCTACCCGGCCAGGGCTCTTTAAGTTCTTTTCTTAATGTTTGAAGAATATACTGCCTCTTATAGTTAGGATTAAAGTTAGGTTTAGAGGAAATATTATAAGTGAAATAAAAATACAGATAAATGATGATGGTGTTCTTTTGTTTTTGCATTAAAAAAAAACTTAAGTTACTAACATATATCCAAGCATCTTTTACACAAAATAAAGTTACCTGTCACAGTTTCTTGCCTTCTTGTCATGACATGTGATCTGATGAGCTGTGACAGTCTGGTGAGCTAGAACATTGAATGCTTTGGGAGAACATCCTTAGTTATAAAAACAAATTATTGTGTCCAAAGCATAGCCCCTTTTGTTCTATGCTAATAAATAAAATGTGACCATTTCAAAAGTTGGAAAAAAGAAAAAAGATGGTTAAATATCCTCTTCCTGTCATGAAGGAGTCTTGCATAAGTAGTCTCTCTCCATACAAAGATGATTGATCAATTTTAGTCTAGTAATGTTATTTTCACAAACCCTTTCTGTCTGGCTGATACTTCAGATAATTATGAAGAAGTTACGTATTTCCAATAAACTGACTCAATTATTGTTGCCTTTTGTTTTTCAGCCACCACCAAAGATACCTGACAAGCAGTTAGATGAAAGGGAACACACGATAGAAGAGTGGAAAGGTAACAGTCACCAGATTCTTAGAGATAAAGCTGAGAGAGCTTCTGGCTTTTTATGTTGATTTATTCCTCATGTTGGGGAAACTAAAGATATTTTGTATTACTCATAACTCATATTTGGTAATATGATTAGTAATTTATTTTTCAAAAATAGAAAGTAGGTCTCCTTCCCCAACTTAATCCGAATTTCTCATTTTCTCCACCCCAGATACAGAAACATTACTTTTTTCTGTAATTTTTTGTGTTTCCATAGTTTGCAAATACTTAGGTGTGTGTGTGTTTGTTGTCTCCCCCTTCTCCTCTCCCCCCATTTTAATCATAAATGGTTGAATGCTGTGCGCACTTGCTTTGTTGATGTAGTGACATATTCCAGAGGGTTATCCTCTTAGGCTCCACGTTCCTGGCTCATTTGCAAGTGGTATACTCTTTTACAGCTGTGTCACAATCTGTATATCCACCAACCATTTAAAGAGTATTTTATTTAAGCTGTGTCCAGTCTGTTATTACAGACAACTACAGTGTTCCTGTACACATGTGAGAACATGCCTATAAAAGAATTCTATAAGATTTGTTTGGACAAAGGATATTTTTCAATGATTTCCAGGTTATTTCCCAAGAAGTTGTAGCACTTTACATTTCCTTCAGCACTGTACAGGAATGTCTGTTTTTTCCTTACCCTCACCAACAGAGTGAGTGAGTAATCTGTGCAAATATAATAGTTTTATTTTATGAATGTGGTTGGACATTAATAATGCTTTGGTAGTCATAGAAGTGTTAAAATATTTCTTTAAAAGATTCCCTGGGACATTTAGGCCAGGCAATTTTTAGATCCTGTTAACTACATTTGTGTTGTAATTTACTGTTTGGACCCCTTATGTAGTTGTGTGACTTTGAGCAAGTCACTTGACCCCCTCTTTTACCCGAACTTAAAACTGTTATTAAGAACTAAGTCCTAAATGCTGCGAAAGCAAAAGGGACTGTAGAGGTATAAAACTGACAGGGAATCCACCTATAAATTTATTTGGGAGGAATGAATTTGATTCTTCCCATGGAATAATCAGTGATTAGTTTTCTTTGAGTTGACTTCTGGAGACATAATTAGGCTTTGTAGACCCACCAGAACAATAGAATTGATTGAAACTGAGTTAATTTGCCATGTAGTAAGTAAGGATATAACTGTGTACCAGCATGTATATTTAAAATATTTAACCTGATATTTTTATGTCATTACATTTATAGTAGACATTTATGCTATCTCATAGAATCTTAATAGGCCACCAATTGTAAAACATTCCATAATATACCACTAAGAGAAAACACTACCAGCTGCACTGCACCATTGGTTATAAAATACATCCCAATTTCAGAAATACTAAACTGTGGGGGAAAGTGGATCTTAAAATCAGTAAAACATAGTGTTTTTGTTGTATAAGGATATAGCTGGGATTTCTGAATACTCTAAATATGTTTACTTTTATTCTATATTTTTCCCCCTGGCCCTAGGTGCTGTACAGTAATTGCCTACAAACCGCCTTTTTCAAGATATGCTTAAAAGTTTTAACATCACAACACAAAGAAAAATTCATTGTCAAAGCCATTAACTACAGATTGCTTTGTCTAGTTAGTACTGCTAATTAGCTTTGGATCTTTTGCCTTAATCCCTGTTCATAAAGGGGTGCTGTTTTCTCATTTTACAAAAGATCTTGCCCTGGTTGGTGTGGCTCAGTGGATTGAGCACAAGCCCGGGATGCAGGCCAGTCTCTTATAGGGGCTCATGGGGGCAGCTACACATTGTGTTTCTCTCCCTCTTTTCCCCTCTCTAAAAGTAAATAAATAAATTTAAGTCTCCCTATCTAGAACACTTATCATTCCTTTTTGTTTCTTTGAAGAAAAGCATCTACTATTCTTTCATCTGTCAAGACTTCCTATTTTTATTCTTCCAAGTCCCTGAAGGTTACCATAGCAAGTAAGTTTAGGTGTCTCTAGCACTTGTTCATTCCAGCATATCTACTTGCTTTACCTTGCTACCAGCATAAACATTGTTATACCCTAAACAATCACAGATTCTTTATCATAAGTTTAAAGAATTACAAACTCCATAAAATTCTATGCAACATTTTTTGCTTGTACATTTTTCTCAGAAGAGGGGTCATTGCTTTTATACAATTCTTAAATTATTCCATGACCCCAAAACGATGATGAATAATGGCTTTGTAGCATCAACCAGATGTTTCTTCTTAAATAGACATGCAGAGTCACAAGGCCCATCACACTTGACATCAGGATCACTTAGAAGAATACAGGACAAGATATACTCCAACAGGAGAGCATCTGATGTGACTGTAGAGGGACTCACTGCAGTCCACTTGCTGTCTGCAGCCTAGTAAAAGAACAAGGTTCCCATGGAGAAATCTTGACAGTGACTGCATGTCATGCTTCAGCTTAGAAGGATTTAAAGTGTAGCCATCTACTGTTTTTCCTTTAATAACAATGTATTTACATATTATTCTGTTAAAAAGAGGCTTTCACAGGCTTTTTCATTTAAATCTTTTAACAGGTATCTGGGTAAGCACCTTCAATGTACCAGGTCCTATCAGAAAATAGAAGTTAATAAGACAAATGTGATTTGAGCCCTCACTGAGACAGAATTAAACAAGCATTTATAAAACAGAGTAATACATGGTATGCCATGGTACAGTGCAAAGTGCTTCTGTAGTTAAAAAGATCAAGCTGTATCCTTAATCCAACATCAGGAACACTAGTTAAGGCAGAGATTTTGTTTCTTTCAGCATAATTCAGGGCTGAGGATCAAGAAGTTGTTTTTAACATCTTTGGATCTTAGGCTGGCACTTACGGACCCTCTACCATTGGAGGATACAATTTAAAGTACTTAATGTGTGTTTTAAAATGTTCACTAAAAACCTAAATATCTTGTGAGATTGGCTCTCAGACTTTGAAAAGCTTGTCTTTGTTCACCTCTTTTTCAGAATTAATATACAAGGAAGTTATGGACTTGGAGGAGAGAACCAAGAATGGAGTTATACGCGGACAGCCCTCTCCTTTAGGTTGGTTACAATATAAGCTTGGTTAAGATTACAGTTTACTTCTTTTATTGTGATCTTCAGTGGCCTGAAACCTGCACTCCTTTCCATACTTACTACCATTATTACACAAAGTTAAGTAAGTATAAGTATAATTTGGGTGGTTAAATTGGAAAGCATTGGGCCCTGGCTGGTATAGCTTAGTGGATTGAGCACTGGCCTGGGAATCAAAGGATCACTGGTTGGATTCCCAGTCAGGGGACATTCCTGGGTTGCAGGCCAGGTCCCCAGTAGGGGGTGCTTGAGAGGCAAACACACATTGATGTTTCTCTTCCTCCCCGCCTTCCCCCTCTGTCTAAAAATAATAATAAAATCTAAAATAAAAAAACTGGCCCTGGCTGGTGTGGCTCAGTGGATTGAGTGTGGACTGTGAATCAAAGGGTTGCTGGTTCAATTCCTGGTCGGGGCACATGCCTGGGTTGCAGGCCAGGTCCCCAGTGGGAGCCACGTGAGGGGCAACTGCACATTGATGTTTCTCTCCCTCTCTTTCTCCTTCCCTTCTCTCCTCTCTAAAAGTAAGTAAATAAAATCTTTTTAAAAAAGTAAAAAATAAAAATAAATAAATAAACTGTTACATGTGATACCAAGTTACCCTCTTTCTCTTGTTGGTGTTTTTGATTTGTTGAACTAAAGCAGTAACATTAAAATTACCATTAGAAAGTGTTCTCTCTCTAAGAAGAAACTGGTTTAGCCCTGGCCGGTGTAGCTCAGGGGATTGAGCACAGGCCTGCGAACCACACCATCGCGGTTCAATTCCCAGTCAGGGCACATGCCTGGGTTCCAGGCTAGTTCCCAGAAGGGGACTAATGAGAGGCAACCATACATTGATACTTCTCTCCTTTTCTCCTTCCCTTCCTCTCTAAAGATAAATAAATAAAACCTTTTAAAAAAAATTAAAGAAAAAACAAGTACTGTTCAAAAAAGAAGAAACTCGTTTATAAGACTTAAACATTTTCTTTTTATCATAAGCTCATATTTAATTTTAGTACTTGTAAAAGCATAAAGAGTTGAGGGGAAAAGTTAAATGGCAAGCAGCATTTACATGTTAAGTACATAGCTATATAACAAACCCTGATAGTTTATGTAGTTCATTTCACTTCACCTTCAAGACCCCAAAGGAGGGATCATTATGTACACTTTACAGATGAGGGAACTAAAATTCAGAAAAATTAAGTGAAACAAGGTTACAAATATATTGTATAGAAAAGTTAATATTTTGAAGCCATGTTTATCGGTAACTTCAGATGGCGTGGTTTCCCAGCATCCTGTATGTCCTCTGGCTGGGAACAGTGACTTCTTTTCTGGCCCCAGAAGTTAGGACAGTTTCATAGAAGAGTTGAAAGTTGGGCTGATTGTTGAAGGTTGGATAGTGTTTCATCAGATACACTTGAATTTGAGTAAAACTATGCTACTTATCCCTCAGAAACTCTTCTAAATTCTAAGAAAAAAAGATACTGTATCTATTTATGGGTAAAAATTTTAACTCTAGTTTCAGATGCCCATTTGTTGTACTGTAAACATTTGTTTAAATAATTTCTGTAGCTTCCTGTGACATTTTTGGTTTTAAAGTTTTAGATTTTTGGGGGGGTTTCATTAAGTCCTTAATCAGAAATGCAGTTTTCCAAATTATAATATAGGCCCTGTTGAAAATATAAATTTATTTTGATGGCTTTTACATAAAATTTAGTCATAACAAAGCTATATCATAAATGCTTTAATAGCAGAGTTAATTAATTAGCTTTGTATTGATAAACAGTAGTCATATAACTGAATACACTGTAGCATACTGTCCTACTGAGTGGCACATCCTAAGTGTTGAATGTTTGAATAAATTTAATCTCATGAGATAGAACAATTTTATTTGTTCTTAATTTATAAGTGAAAAATTTGGATCCTAGACAGCACTTGACTGTGGTTACAAGAAAAGTTGATGGGAAAGACAGGACTTCATGTTTCTGGACATCCTCTGAATTCTCATAGCTTACAGAGAAGAATGTTAGTGAAGCTGTTATAAAAATATTCTATTTTCATATCTATACAAAGATTAGAAGGAACAGTCTTTGATGTCAAAATATCAGATAATTACAATACCATTTATTTTTTAAAATGAAACATCAAATTAGGGAATTTGGATTTAAAAACAGAGGCATAGAAAAGTATGTATGGTAGAATCCTTTTATGAATTGAATGTTTCAGTACAAGTCTTTGAAGTTAGCCATTGTATTTGAATACTCCTCACTCACAGCAGACATATCCAATAATGTCATACGGATTGAACTTTTTAAAAAGTATAGTATCTTCATTGCACTCTTAGCAGGGAACCTAATGGATCTTTTTTGGTTATCACATTTCTGCTTTTCTTCTCTCCTATCAAGACCTGAAGTACTCAGTCTGCTTCCTTTTTTCTCATTACACCTTTAATTGCCTGTCTGTCTTCTGTGGTTTCATTCCTTTTTGTCTCCCAGTCCCCTCCCCAACATCCTAAAGATTTACTTAATCCTACTTTTCTGGCTATTTCCTTGTTGCATTTGAAGACAAGCTCTTAGAGGACCTTTCATATTTAAGCTTTTATTACTTGTCATTAGACAGAATGGAGAGAGAATTTCAAACACCAGGATTATGGGTTTTGGAACAGTGATTTTCAACCTGCTTGGTTTTAAACATTGATGGGTGCCTGAAACTCACCCCTAGAAATTTCCTTACTGCTCATTTTGTAAACCATTGCTTTTATTCCATAAATGTGTTCTTAGGAACTTTTGTATAACTTGCATTACTTGATATACTGAAATCTGGAAAGACCGTTATTTAGTGATCATGAAGTTTGTAAGTTCTTACCTACTATATGAATCACCTTTTCTAACACATTCCCAACCCCCCAATATCATTTCTTCCCCCTTTTTGTGACCTTGAGAAGATTTATCTGTAAGTTAAGTACAGGCATTCCTCAGAGATATTGCTGGTTTGGTTCCAGACCACTAGAACAAAGACAGCATCATAAAAAGCAAGTTGTAATTGTTTTGCAAGTGGAAGGTCTTGACTTAAGATTGGTTTTGTTGTTGTTTTTTTTAAATATTTTATTTATTTATCTTTAGAGGAGAAGGGAAGGAAAGAGGGAGAAAAACATCAGTGTATGGTTGCCTCTTGTGAGTCCCCTGCTGGGAACTGACCTGCAACCCAGGCATGTGCCCTGACTGGGAATTGAACCGCGATTGTGTGGTTTGCAGGCCTGTGCTCAATCCACTGAGCTACACCAGCCAGGGCAGATTGTTTTTTTTTTTTTTTTTAATGCACCAAGGAGGTGGGTGGAAGCAAGGGAGGGAGGTAGGTTCGGACGAGGGGAGAGGGATGGCAAGAAAATGCAGACAAGTGTAATTGAAAATCAATAAAATATTTTTTTAATTTTTAAATAAATGCAGAGTTCTGGTGAAGATGGAGTGTAGGTAGAAATCATTTGCTTCGTCACACAACCAAAAGGAGTATAACAACCTATCTAAAATCAATAAATAACCAGAAGTACCAGAAAATCAAACTACATAGAACTATGACAACCAAGGAATTAAAGAAACAGTCAACCAGACCAACCAGACCCAGTAGGAGGGAGATGAGGAAGATGGTCAGGCAGGCAAGATGGATAGAACTCATGGCAAGGCAACAGACTGCACAGGCCAGGCTGACTGAAAGGGAAACCTAAGACTCAGAGCTGACTGTGGACTATAGCAGGGGTTCCCATAGAGGGAGAAACCCAGTCTCAAACAAGAGTTCATTGGGAAGTGGGGGTAGAGCTGAGCAAGCAAGCTGCATTGTTCCCTCTCTGACCCTTCCCCCACAGTGCCACAACACAGCAAAGAGGGTTGCCCTGCCCTGGTGAATAGCTAAGGTCCCACCCCTTTACAATTTAACAGGTGCACTGAGATGAGGAAATATGGCCCAAATGAAAGAACAGAGCAAAACTCCAGAAAGAGAGCTAAGCAATGGGGAGATAGCCAACCTATCTGATGAAGAAGAGTTCAAAGCCCTGGCAATCAAAATGCTCACAGAACTGATTGAGCTTGATTGCAAAATGGAAGAACAAATGAAGGATACCCAAAGTGAAATAAAGCAAAATATTCAGGGAACCAACAGTGACAGGGAGGAAATCAGAACTCAAATCAGTGATTTGGAACAAAAGAAAGAAATAAACATCCAACCAGAACAGAATGAAGAAACAAGGATTAAAAAAAAAAAAAATGAAGAGAGGCTTTTAAGAACCTCTGGGGCAACTTTAAACATTCCAGTATCTGAATTACAGGGGTACCAAAAGGAGAGGAACAAGAGCAAGAAATTGAAAACTTATTTGAACAAATAATGAAGGAAAACTTCCCCACTCTTGCAAAGGAAAGAGACTTATAAGAAAGCCCAGAGAGTCCCAAAGAAGTTGAACTCAAACAGGAACACACCAAGACACATTAATTACATTACTCAAGATAAAAATAAAGAGAGAATCTCAGAAGCAAGAGGAGTGAGTTGCCTACAAAGGAGTTCCCATAAGACTATCATCTGATTTCTCAAAAGAAACCTTGCAGGAAAGAGGGGAATGGAGTAGGTATTTGAAGTCATGAAAGGCAAGGACCTCCATCCAAGATTACTGTCTCCAGCAAAGCTAACATTTATAATGGAACGGCAGGTAAAGTGCTTCCCAGATAAGGTCAAGTTAAAGGAGTTCATCACCAATTCCTTATTATATGAAATATTAAAGGGACCTAAGAAATTGAAGAGCAAAAACTATGAGCAGTAAAATGACAAACTTAACAACTATCAGCAACTGAACCTAAAAAAGAAAAAAAATGAAAACAAAAACTAAGCAAACAACTAGAACAAGAACAGAATCAGAAATGGACATCATTGGAGGGTTTTCAGAGCGGAGGAGAAGGGGAGAAATAGGAAGGGAAAGGTACAGGGAAGAAGCAGCATAATTGGCAGGCTTAAAATAGGAAGAAGAATGGTATAGGAAACAATTCAAAGAATTTACATGTTCTTTGAACTAGGTAGGGGTAGCATGGCAGAGGGGAAATAAAGGGGGGGGGAATTATAAAAACTAATAGCATAATCAGTAAAGTATACCAAAAAATTGCAGTGCCAATGAAGCACAATTAAGTGACACACCATAAAAGGAGACATGCCTGTACTACTATTTTTTTTTTTTTAATTCAAGAAGTCTTAGGCTATGTTTTTGGTAAAGGAAACAGTCTTCCCCAACTTTACCTGTTTAATCTGTATTTTCATTTATCAAGTATTTATTAAAATAGAAATTACATGACCAGAGTTTACCTAACTAGGGCGCTTAATTGATGGAGGCAAGTCATGTAACCTATGTAAATTGGGGCAGTTGAACTAAATACCCTTCCAGTGGAAATGATTTCTGTCTTTGTCCTGGCTTTCACTTTGAAACAAGGTGTACCAGAAGTATTGTTTGGACTTTTACAGTGAGAGTATCATAAATCACTTTTTATTAGGGCAGTAGTTTTTACCCTTTTGAATCATACATAGCTTTAAGATCCCCTTTCCAACAAAATAAAACACAGTTTTGTGTGTATTGTCAGTATTATTCACACACAACCTGTAGCCCATTTCTAAATGGCTTGGACTTGGTGATTCTTGTCTTGAACTGAAAAAACAAATCTATGGAAAGGACAGGACTCCAGGTTTCCAGATATTCAGAATTCTCACCTCATAGATTGCAATAAAAAAGACTTTGTAACTTAGTGTTGTGTTGAATATCACTTGCGATTATTTTTAGTGAGCCTTTTAAAGCCTAGAGAAAAGTTACCACTGGAGGTAGCCAGTACAGTAGAAGTAGCTGGGTCTGCAACTCTGTCTGCAACTGATTTGCTGTTTTGTTTCTCATAGCACAGGTGCAGCAGTGATCAATGGCTCTCAGCATCCATCGTCATCGTCGTCTGTCAATGATGTGTCTTCAATGTCAACAGATCCAACTTTGGCCTCAGATACAGACAGCAGTCTAGAAGCCTCAACGGGACCACTAGGCTGCTGTAGATGACTACTTGGGCCTTGGGGGGTGGGGGCAGGGTGGGAGGGATGGGGAGTCGTTTAGTCATTGATAGAACTACTTTGAAAACTAAAAGTAAGTCAGTGGTCTTATTTTGAGTGATTTCAAAAAGGTAGAATTCATTTTGTAGTAAAGTAGTTTATTTTTTTTAATTTCAAGTGATGTAATTTAAAACTTAAGTTGTGTTTTAAAACAGCAACAAAACGTATTATATTTTTGCTGTAATTAACTGTATAATGTAAACCTAATTATTTTATCATGGTTTAAAATTTTTGCATATTTGCTTTATCTTATGCTGCTGATTTTTTTTACTGAATTTATAAGATTTTGTTTATCAAAGCAACTATTATGTGGTGACTTGCCTATATCATGAATTATTTAAGATTTTTATAGTTTTTTTTAATTTGAAATTATTTCAAATGTTCACGATGCTGTCCTTCAGGGTTATGTGCTTATCAATGAAATAATCACAGAAGAGTGAGAGGGAATAACTTGTAGCCACTTATATTCAGGAATAACTACTGTAAATGATGAACATGTTTTTAAAAAAAGAACCTCCAGATTTGCTACTTGCCAAACCTAATTTAGTTAAGCAATTGGTGTACAGTCCTACAAGAATTTTGGCAAAAGCCCCATCATCTAAATGACAGAATAACTCGGAGCATGTCTTTGAAAATGCTGGGCATCTACCACCACCCTTCTATTCCCCCAACCACACCTAACAAATGTGAAGTGAAAAGAAGGTGGTGTTTTCTGCAAATCTGTGGCATGCTCAAAGCTTATGATCACATAAAATCAAGAGGATACTTAATAAATAATACATTTCAATGCAAATAAAAACATGGTTCACTTCTACTAGCTATGAGCCTATTTTCATACACACTGAGTTAATCTGCTCAGGCTGTAGGCCCCAGTGATGATCTGGTCTTTCTCCTCCCTGCAGCCTCAAGCCCTTGGACCTTTTTGGTTTCCTGTTAGAGTGTCAGTCAGTTGAGCACCAGTTTGGGCGTTTCTGGCCATTTGATTCTACCTGTAGCATAATCATGTTTTTGCAAGCTGTTCGGAGGTTCCAAAGCCTACTAGATATTTGTAGGTAATGTATCAAATGAGCAATATACTGTTCATCAGAAAATAGTAGCACACAGCCATATATAAGGTATCATTTTCCTAGGACTGTTTCTTCACACTGAGCAGAGCAGGCATAAATGGTGATTATTTAGTCTAAGGCTTTCATTTTTTTATATCTGATTTTCAGTGAAACACACACTGTGGGTGTTGAGTAGTGTAAGAACGGTGCTGCTCCTGACGAGTGGATGTTAACTGTTTACATTTTATATCTGCAGAATTATTTCTGCGTAACTGAATTTTTCTTAAGTAAAATGTCTTTGAAGTCTCATCTCTAAAATGCATTGTCTCTAATCCCCCAGGCACTTTTTGTTATATTTGGAACAAGAGAGATTACATGTCGTGAACTGGGAAATGCATACTTAAATCAGTGACTGGGTTCTAGGCAGAAAGCTCATTAGAATTAAAGGCCAACAAGAGCAAGAACTGGTGTGGCTCAGCATGTGGCGTCTGAAAGTTGGCTTGGCATGTTATTTGTGTATTTAGTGCAAAACTCCTTTTGAGTAAAGTATTTTAGATTGTTGTTAATGTGCAATATTTAGGATTAAATACATTAGCCTTTTTATATGCTTTAAAACAGCAAGTTTGTTTTTGGTGGTTTAAAAGTCATGATTTCCTGTCTCAAAGTTACCAACCTTTGTATCAAACCCTTTTCTACTCATACAACATGGTATATTAATTTCATTAAGCAGATTAGAGTGTTGAGACTTTTTGATTTGTAGAAACAGAATTGGATATACAGAGGAATCTGAGCATAAGTGTGTTATTAGTTTGTTAGTTTTACAGTTAATTAGCTGTTTTCTAGGATAGATCATTTCACTGTTGCACTTTAATAACTGACATGCTTTCAGAAGCTTCCCATATTTTGTTTGATTGCTAGTAAGCCATCTCTATTGATACAGATTGTGGTTAAGCAAGGAAAACCAAGTGTTCTTATTGTATCATTTGTTGTAAATGCCAGCTCCCACTTGCCAACCAGCGTGTTTCAGTTGATTCAGAGAAAATGAACTCTTATTAGTTAATGTAGATTAAAAAATACTTAAACTCTGTCCTGAAAACGTCTGTTAAATGTTGTGTACCCTAGGTTTAACATGCAATATCTAAATACAACTATTCCTCTTAAATTTGGTAAGCTAAACATATACATGTTTTATTTTGTAAACTTTTTGAACCTTTAAAGTATCTTAAACATTTGTGTTTTAAGAGAAATTACAAATAAGATTTCTGCCAGGCAGTACTTAATGTAAAACCACCTTTCTTGTAAACTTTAGTTTTCAACTTTATACACTTAATATAGCCATCATCTTACTGTTGGAAAATTATTTTGACCAAGGTCTGTTACTCAACTTTATAGGTTAGGAAAGAGACACTAATTCTAATTCTTTCTGCATACTTCTTCCTGGTTATTATTATGTTACCCTCTAATGTATATTGACCAACTGTAAAATGATTGTGTTGTTGGGATTGCAGCTCAACTCTTTGATACTGTTTGCTGAACAGTTCTCATTTTGTCACATATCCTCAGCTGCTGGTTCTTCCTGGTGTGTACCCTTCCACGTTGGTTAAGGCACAGTGCATTCACACGAGACCCCTAGAGAAATGCCAGCCTCTTATATGAAGCTGCCACACAAGCCCTTTGACAATATAGAGAAGCTTGATTGTGTGTAAAGCAGCAAACTTTTCCTGTAAGTCCTTGTTACTCTGTTCCATGCTAATCCTGCCATGTTGTCTAAAAAGATGGAGGTGAATAGACATCAATGTCTAATATTTGTAAAGTCAGCTGCAGGCAAGTTTCGGGGTTACAAATAAGACTTGGTATACACAATCAGCCAGTATGTGCTACGCATGTGAAGACTTAACTCCTCGGTGTTGCCTAGGCACAAGCCTTGCACATTTTGAGGTACAGCATAGTCCGTTTTCAAAGACACTGTTGTAGTTTGTGAGTGTTTGTTCATTAGTCACATATTAGCGGTAGAGTGACTGCATGAAGCCCCATGATCCCAGTAAACTTCTCTAACTGGTAGAAAAACTAAACACCACCATTCTGTCATTAGCAGCCGTCTTAAATGTTGATTCTGTGTCCTTTACATTTTAGTATAGATTGTGTTTCTACTGATCTCTCTTAGGTTTTTTTCTGAATCAGGGGAAACTGATTTTTCCTTATTAGCAAGAAAGATGAGGAGGTAAAGGGCATTGAAGCAGAAACGTATAGTTTGGGGTATGATTAGAAAACACATAAGGAAAACAAGTCCTAATTTCAAACTAACTGCTCTTAGTTAAGTGCTCTTAAGGAGAGTCTAGTAAGAGTAACACTTCCTGGCCATTTCTGGTTTAGGTTCTCTTCATTACTGAAACTTAAGAAATATTACCTGTGGATTAGTTTTGCACAACATTTTATTCTCACAGTAACTTACAAATTAAACTCGGCTTGTATTGAACTACCTCACACTAATTTTCTATGCTTTCCCAAGCTGTTGCCCTTGCTGTTAGATCTTTACTGAGTGTGATGATAAATGTGTGTAAAATACTTTATAGCCAATGTTGACACAGTACCAGTAAGTATGTAAAACGCATACCTTGCATCAGTAAGAGACTCACATGTAAAATCTTCCACTGTATATCTTGGCAAATTGTGTTAGATGTGTTTGTTGGACATTATTAGCATCTGTTTTGTAAGTAGAAACCTGCTCGTGATATCAGTCCATTCTTTACATTTTACAAAAGGAATAAATCTTAGTAAATTTTACGAAGAAATAAATTACTTTTGTAGGCCCGATATTTGGTATATTTTTGAGAAGCTCTTAATCTTTTAGCCGAATGATGAATTTAAATTGAACTAGCTGTCTACCTGGACTGTGACATCTATTTTCTCATTGCAGTTTATCCTATTCAGCAGGTTTTAAAGCCTGAAAACTTAAGTATAATTGACATTTGCTTTCCTCCCTGTATTATGATGCCATTCTTTCTTCATTCCTCTCCCCTGTGTTCTGTTCCCTCTTCTCTCTAGTCAAAACAAAATGGGGCACTTTGTAGGGAATGCTGAGATAATTATTGTGGTTTTTAATCATTCATGCCCTACTCATTAAACATGCACCACTGGAATGTAAACAATGTTATCTAGTATGTTCATTGGTTATAATATTTTAAATAAAAAAAGTGGTATGAAAACTATGAAATTGAGTGTTTCTATTGAAAAATCTGAATTTGTAGTAAAAAGTTTTTCAGGGCAATTTTAAAATATCCTGTGGCTTGGGATAACAAGGATAGTACTAGGGTTAGTTTCTTAGATTGGGATTTTATAAGTAGCCTAATCTATTGCCCTGATTTTCTGGTGTATCTATTCTTGCTTTTCTGGTGTTTCAAGTCACTGGAGAAACTTTATCATAAAAAGGAAATTTGCTTCAGTGCCTCACCCTAATCTTATTAACCATATAAGAGACCGGCTATTGTGACCACTTGGCAAAAGTAAGTGTTTTAAAAGGATCTCTTTCAAAACAACCCGGGAATTTTAGCTTTGAGCACATTTCCAGCTTTTGTCAAGCGTTACATTCAGCCTGCGTTGGGCAGGCTTCTTAGCAGGGTCACTTGCTACATGTGACCAGCATCATATGTTGGCACTCCTTTGTCTTGCTCAAGTTGCTTCAGATCACCCCCATGTTCTGCTGTTCCCACCCTGTCTGCACTTGGACTTACCTGCTTTGAGTGAAGGACAGGACCTGACCATTGCTGCTGACCCAGCGCATCCTGCTGCATCAGTCATTGGAGGGGCCTCTAGTGAAAAATGGTGGCAACAGCGGAGAGTAGAATGTTCGTTCATTTACTTTCCACCCAGTCATAACACCCTGGTGACACCAAGTGAAAGAATAATTTGTGTGCATAGAAACATTATTTACAATAGCCAAATCTGGAAACAGCCCTAACGCCCATCAGTAGATCAGTGGATAGAAAAGCTGTGGTACATTTACACAGTGGAGTACCATGCAGCCACAAAAATAAAGGAAATCTTGACCTTTTGCGACAGCATAGATGGAACTGGAGAGTATTGTGCTGAAGTGACATAAGCCAATCAGAGAAAGAAATACCATAAGATCTCACATGTGGAATCTAATGGACAAACTGATGAACAAAATAAAATTGGGCATGGACACATGGAACTGACAGCTCTCAGAGGAGGCTGGGGGGACTGGATGAAAGGTGAAGGGAGGCTCTGGCTGCTGTAGCTCAGTGTACTGAGCATGGGCTGTGAGCCAAAGGGTCACCAGTTAGATTCCCAGTCAGGGCACATGCCTGGGTTGTGGGCCAGGTCCCCACTTGGGACCATGTGAGAGGCAACCACATGATGTTTCTCTCCCTCTCCCCTTCCTCTCAAAGATAAATAAATATTTTAAATATATATTTTTTAGCCCTGGCTGGTGTAGCTCAGTGGATTAAGCGTGGGCCTGCGAACCAAACAACCGCAGTTCTATTCCCAGTCAAGGCACAAGCTTGGGTTGCAGGCCAATTACGAGCAGGGGATGCATGAGAGGCAACCATACATGGATATTTCCCTCTCCTTCCCCTCTAAAGATAAATAAAATCTTTTTAAAAAGTAGGTCATCATTCTGTTAAAAAAATTTTAAGGTGAAGGAAATAATCAAAGAACATTTATGCATAACCCATAGACACAGACAACAGTGTGAGGATGGCCTGAGAAGGGGGGTGCTGAGTGGCAGTGGGAAAAGGGGGAATAACTGTAATAACATAAAATACAATAAAAAAAATTTTTCTTGTTAATCTAGGCATTGCATTTTAGTGTTATTCCTTGAAAGGTCTATTGACTTTATGTGAATGAAAATTAAATTGTACTGATTTGTACTTTAAAATTTTGTTTAGCTTTTACAACTAATATACCAATATATTTTTGGACTTCATTTTAAACTTAAAAGATACTACAGGTATACTTTGTAAATGTTAGGCTTATGTCTTAACATTTCCCTTAATTTTAAGCCCCTGTGTTGTATGCTGGGGTTGAGGAGAGAAAAAAATGAAGGTCACTCAAAGAGTGTAGTTCACCTGATTGCAGTAATTATGTAGAGGAGCAAGAACAATGTTGAAGGGATGCAGACAGAAGGGGTGGTTAAAGGAGAGGAGGGATTTCCTTTTTTTTTTTTTTTTTTGAGCCTTGGTATAAGGAAGGTTTGGAGAGGATGGGGTATTCCCAAGTTAAAGGATAGGCAAGGAGCTTTGCAAATGACAAATGAATTCAGCAAAGTAGCAGGATACACAAATACCCAAAAATCAGTTGCATTTTTATATGCCAGTAATAAACTAACAGAAATTAAGAAAACGATTCCAGCCCTGGCTGATGTGGCTCAGTGGACTGAGCACCAGCCTGCAAACTGAAAGGTCACTGATTCTATTACTAGTCAGGGCTATTCCTGGCATTGTGGCCCAGGTCCCCAGTAGGGGACAAGTGAGAGGCAACCAGTAGATGTATCTCACACAATCGTTTCTCGCCATGTCTTTCTCCCTCTCCCTCTATAAATAAATAATTAATTAAAATATAAAAGGAAAAAGGCAAATCACACTCACAATTGCTCCAAAAAGAATAAAATACCTAGGAATAAATCTAACCAAGGATGCAAAAGACCTGTACTGGGAAAATTATAAGACATTGAAGAAAGAAACTGAAGAAGATACAAATAAATGGAAGCACATACCATGTTCATGGATAAGAATGATTAACATTAAAATGTCCATGTTACCCAATACAATTCCTATCAAGATTCCAATGTCATATTTCTACAGAAATATTTCAAGAATGTATATGGAACCATAAAAAGCCCTGCATAGGAACAGCAATCCTGAGGAAGAAAAACGTATTTGGAGGAATCATTCCACATAGTATCAAACTATCCTACAAGGTCATAGTAATCAAAACAGCATGGTACTGGCATAAAAACAAACAGATCAATGGAATGGAATAGAAAGTCCAGAAATAAACCCACACCTTTATAGTCAATTAATATTCAGCAGAGGAAGCAAGCACATAGAATGGACTAAACATCGT